AGAGCCCCAAACACTGTTTTTTTGCATAGCTAACCAACGATTTTGTGCGTTGGACTCTTCTGCGATTGGATCCTGGAGCAGAAGATTGAAAGCCGTGTAGGATCATTAAACCACAAAAAGGACTTAACATACCATCGATCGTTGGTCTATTTACACTTTGAATTACTTGAGTTTATTGAAAACAGCTATGCAGACATAAAAGTAATTAAATTTATTCAATAAAAATTTATTTGGTTTTAATATAAATATTATACAAATAAAACTTTGAGAGAAATAAACTGAAATGTTGTTAACCTACACTTATCAACGGGCTTCTGGTCATGTATATATTTTTATTTTTCTCGTCCAGAGGGCGTACAAAATACACAAATTAAAAAACAACGTATAGAAATATTAATTTAGTCCTCTCAAAGTTTCATTTGTATAGAGTTCAGATTAAAAACAAATAAATCACAAATCACTAGATTGAATAAATTTAATTACTTTTCTGCGTGCAAAGCTGTTACACGAGATGGAATGCACTTGGAAGAACGTATTAGACGTCAGAAAGGCATTTCAACAAGTGTTAGACAATTACTTAAAACTGATTCCCCAGAAAGCAAAAGACGTTTGTTTAGTCATAGTATTGCTATTGTTCACTGATTTACGATCAATATTTTAATTGATCTTGTTCATTTTAAAGAATACATTGAAATATGGTGCGAATAATGTCGTCAAGAAAGTTAAAAATTTACAAATTTAGAAAGTTAGAAGGACAGAAATTTAGAACTTTAGAACTTTAGAACTTAAGACATTTAGAAAGTTCACCATTTAGAACTTGAGAACTTCAGAACCATAGACATTCAGACATTCACAAATTTGCAACTTTAGAAATTTAGAAATTCAGAAAGTCAGACATTTAGAAATTTGCAACTATAGAAATCTAGAACTGTAGACCTTTAGAAGGTTAGAAAGTAAGAAAGCTAGACATTTAGAACTTTAGAAATTTGGAAATTTAGATGGTTAGAAAGTTAGACGTTTAGAACTTTAGACATCTAGAAACTTATACATTTAAAACTTTAGAAATTTAGAAAGTTAGACAGCTAGTAATTTCGAAATTTTGAAAGTTAGAAATTTAGGTACTTAAACATTTAGAACTTTAGACATTTAGAAGGTTAGACATTTAGAACTTTAGAACTTTTGACATCTAGAAAGTTAGAAATTTAGAACTTTCGCGCGTTAGAAGTTTGGACATTTAGATCATTAGAAGTTTCTTAATTTAGAAAGTTAGACATTTAGAACTTGAGACATTTAGACATTTAGAAAGTTAGGCATTTAGAAATGTGCAACTTTAGAAATTTAGAACTTTGGACATTCAGAACGTTAGAGGTTTAGAACTTTAGACATATAGAAAGTTATACATTTAGAACTTTAGAAATTTAGAACTGTAGACGTTTAGAACTTGAGAACTTTAGAACTTTTGAAAGTTAAAAAGCCAGAAATTTAGAACCTGAGACACTTAGACATTTAGAAAGTTATACATTTAGAACTTTGGAACTATAGAACTTTAGACATTTAAAAAGTTAGACATTTCGAACATTAGACATTTAGAACTTTAGAGGTTTAAAACTTCAGACATCCAGAAAGTTAGACATTTAGAACTTTAGAAAGTTGAAACGCTAAAAATTTAGAACTTTAGAAATTTAGAAAATTAGAAGGTTAGAAAGCTAGACATTTCGAACTTGAGAACTTGAGAAATTTGGAAAGTTAGAAAGCTAGAAATTTAGAACTTTCGCGCTTTAGAAGTTTGGACATCTAGAAAGTTAAACAATTAGCACTTTGGAACTTTAGAACTTCAGCACTTTAGAAAGTTAGAAAGCTAGAAATTTAGAACCTGAGACATTCAGACATTTAGAAATTTAGAAATTTAGAACTGTACACATTTAGAAGGTTAGAAAATAAGAAAGCTAGGCATTTAGAAGTTTAGAACTTTTAGTAATTTAGAAATTTTGAAAGTTAGAAAGTTAGAACTTTGGACATTTAGAACTTTAGAGGTTTAGAACGTTAGACATCTACAAAGTTAGACATTTAGCACTTTGGAACTTTAGAACGTTAGACATTTGGAACTTAAGAACTTTAGAAAGTTAGAAAGCCAGAAATTTGGAACCTGAGATATTTAGACATTTAGAAAGTTAGGCATTTAGAACTTTAGAAATTTAGAACTTTGGACATTTAGATATTCAGAGCTTTTCAAATTTAGAACCCTAGACATTTACAACTTTAGAATTTCAGAACTTTAGAAAGTTGGAACGCTAGAAATTTAGAACTTTGGACATTTAGACATTTAGACATTCAGAGCTTTTCAAATTTAGAACGCTAGACATTTAGAACGCTAGAAATTTAGAAATTTAGAAGGTTAGAAAGCTAGACATTTCAAACTGGAGAACTTGAGAAATTTGGAAATTTAGAAAGCTAGAAATGTAGAACTTTCGCGCTTCAGAAGTTTGGACATCTAGAAAGTTAGACGTTTAGCAGTTTGGAACTTTAGAGATTTGGAACTTGAGAAGACATTTAGAAGTTAAGAACTTAAGAAAGTTAGAAAGCTAGAAATTTAGAACCTGAGAGATTTAGACATTTGGAAAGTTGGACATTTAGAACTTTAGAGGTTTAGAAAGTTAGAAAGTTATAAATTTAGAAAGGTAGGCATTTAGAGCTTTAGGGATCTTGAAAGTTGGACATTTAGAACTTTAGAAATTTGGACATTTAGAAAGTTAGATATTTAGAAAGGTAGACATTTAGAGCGTTAGAGATCTAGAAATTTAGACATGTAGAACTTCAGAACTTAAACATGTAGAAATTTAGAAATTTAGACATTTAGAACTTGAGTCATTTAGAAAGTTGGAAAGTTGGACATTTAGAATTCTAGAACTTTGGAGCTTTAGAAATTTGGAAATTTTGAACTTTAGAAGTTGTTAAAGTTAGTTTAGTTTTCCGTACCCGATGTTGAGCAGTGTAGCAACAAGTATACTATGTGTGCCGAGGACTTCAGCTACGGTTGAAAGGGTGTTGTCTTAATCCGGTTTTCTTATTCGACCACATCGGGCAAGAATGACGCCAAAGACCCTCGCCTGCCTTACTTTACTCAAATACAATTTTTCTGTTATGAATTATGCTTTTATTTTCATTTTCTCATAAAGGAAGAAAACAAAAAATCCTCGCTTTCTGTTTTTTTAACATTTTGTTCTTGTCTTTTTTTGTTACTATAGCCACGTAAACAAACAGTTACTCTCTGATAAAAAGAATGGAAGTGGAGAACAATGTATGCTGTGGCCGACATCGGACTTAAAGTTTAGCGGACTAGGACTAGAGCAGTTTAACTACATAGCGGATTGGGACTGATTCGGACTTAGCCTCTGCTGGAGGGGGTCTGGGCTAGGAGTGGAAAAGTACTGGACTTGCCCATCTCTAGATCTCACATACATGTGTTGTTTTCCGAATAATGTAATTTTTTCTATTACTGTGCACACTATTCAATATACATCTACGCTCGCTACTTTTCAAAACACATAGTAAAGTAAATATTTATTTTTCAAACACAACTAATTACGATAAATTTCAAACTAATTTGTAACTACATTTATTAAAAGAATTGACAACAGAAGTGCGACACTTTCCCATGTATTGGTCTTCTGTCGGACACAGTTTATAAAAGAACTAATTTTGAAATTTTAATTTAATATTCACGTTGTACAATCTTTGTAACTCGGTTGTCCCTACCATAGTAAATAACAATTGCATGTAGTCGTGCAGATTGGCCTGTAATTGAAACTGGTATTTCAGCGGTAGCAAAACGACCTGTACGAACAACATGAACCAGGTAACCTAGAGAAAAAAAGAAAATCAGAAAACAATTGTATATTGGAAAAAAGACACTTGCATACCAGAGCGTTCTAATTCATTTCGAACGTAATTAATATATCGTCCAATATATTTTTGTAATTCATAATCCGATAATGGAAATTTCGTGTATTCTCCTTAATTACATAGAAAAAATGAAACATTCCAACCTTATAACATACGCTTTTAATAAATCAAATGCAGCAGCAATCTAAGTTATAACAAGAAAAAATCGGCTCCATCTTTTGACTGATTGACAGAAATTTTCCCTTGAACAATTGTAAAAAGTGATCCCTATGCTGCCGCAAGCGGATCAATTCATCTCCACTGACGGATAGTGCAAATTGATAAAAAACGCTTCTGGGCGATGGATAAAATAAAAACAGTTTTTCAGTTCTTCGATTATTGATATTATTTTTCATTTATTCAATTGCATCAAAATAATGGATGCCTATGCGTCTACGGCCGAAACACATATCTTTAATCGATACACAACCACTATTTGAAAAACAGCAAAATGCACTTTATTCTCGACAATAGACCCTTCTATGCCTATGTGAAATTCTTTCTGAAAATATTAACACAAACCTACCGTGTTCTTTACCACCGATTACCAGTTTACCTAAAATAAATACAGTTGTCACAAATTTGTACGTAAATTAGAGATAAGAAAACTTTATTCTTTACATGTTTGGTAACATTCATCTCTTGTACTAAATATATTATCTCTTTCATATACTAAACCAATACCACCATAGATGAATAATTTACACTCATGGTCAAATCTATCATACCAAAAACGATCAAAACTTGCACGTCCCTCACCCCGATTACCATCCAATGATTTACCATAACAACGAGCACCTAAATTGTAAAAGAGAATCTAGAAATTTTATTAATTCCAACGGATAAATCAATGAGAAAAAGAAGCTTCACTATTTCTCACGATTTTAAGCTACTGTTAATCATTTTTAATATTATTAATAAATTTTTCTTGTCATTATTTAAAGGTACCCATTAAAACAATCACTCAGTTAAAAGTGCATAACAGCCAGTTTCTACCTATTGGACATTAAAAGCTGTTCTAAATTTTGGATGTAGAAATTAATCTTGACCTTGATCATAACTGTATCTATACTCACTATGATCTATAAAAGAACAATCATGTTTTCCGATGCATAAACCAATTATAATAAGAAATGAACATAATAAATAGAGACGATAAGAATTATTCATTCTAAAAACAAAAATGGTGGCTCTGTTAGAGACCGCAGAAGGTCCGCTAGCGTTTACTTACATTTTGTTAATATAAATGTAGAAATCAATAACAGAAACTTTTTAATACTTATGTACGACTGATGAACCAAATCACGGTTAGTCTGTCTGCTTTTATACATTTGGTGGAGAGAGAATTTTTTTTCTTTTACGTAATTTTCTTTCAGTATGATCAGCTGAAATTTGCATTACAATGGAGAGAAAGACTATTCTTATTGTTGTTGTTCTTATTCTTATGCACTATACTATTCTATTAGAACAAAATGGACGCCAATTTATATTTTACATATCGAACACATATGGGAAATGTATTTACAATTTCTTACATATTACAGTCTTTCTCAGCTGACTAGATGAAAAAGAGAATGTGAGGAATAGATGTTCTATTTGCATCTTTCCGTCGTATATAGATCTTGCACACTGAGAAAACTGACTAAAAGATAGAGTTTCTCAATGTCACTAGTCAACGTTCGTGTGGCTATATTTGCAAGATTCTTGTTTCTTGGCATTTCAGACAAGAAGCTTGTACAATATTTTACATTTGCTGTTGTTATATCAAGAACCTTGCAGGAACTCTGTTTCTTGTGAGTACATACCAGAATCGTCAGACGGATTTTTCTCTGTATTCACAAGAAAGTGATTGCTTGCAAGATTCTTGTCTCATTTTTTCCTGCCATAATCTTGTCTTGTAATTCTTAAAAGAATCTTGCAAAGAAAAAGAATCACTCATGTATAGCGGGGGCATCGGCGAAAGAAATTGGTAATTTTGTCGTCAACGAATCTTGCCGCTTCAGACAAGAATGTTTAACGAAAAGAGATGGAAAATCAACGAAAACTTAAAAGAAGAATCTGTTCTGTACTATCAAAACGCAATTGAGGATTCTTGTCTGAAATGACAATAGAGAAGAATCTTGCAAGAATACCCACAAGAACGCGCGACTAGTGGTGCAAGGTATATATAGAACGGAAAGTGAAAAATAGAGACGTCTTTTTCTGGTCAGCTGAAGAAGAATTTTAAATATATTTTCTTACAATTCGCATCTTTGTTCGATGTCTTATAAACGAAAAAAGAAAAAGAACTGGCCAGTTTAGTTGTTGTTAACAGTGAAAGTCAAACTCTGTTGAGTATAGAATTTAGTCGACTTTTTCAATCGAAGAGGATAAAAAACTATATTAACAAGCAGTCTACAGAAAGCGAAAAGTAAACTAAGCACATGGCTGTGTCAGCTTTTCGTCTGTTTCATCCATCATTCGATGTTCTTCGATATTGCTAGATTCGACGCATTTTGATAAATATTAGTCTCTCGAGTTGCTGAGTATCGTTATCAGTATGTGTTTGAACTGAACACTATTATTCAGTTGAATTTCCATACAGAACTCCAATCTACATAGCTGTACTTTTTCCATTCCGGCCGAGAAACAGCTTTCTGCAATCCTGGAATCCTTCAATTCTTTCGATAAATCAAGGATATAAGAATTCCGGGATTCTCTCCTTTATTCAGAGCAGGTGGGGTGGGATGGGTAGTAAGTGTGAGTAACACAACAACATTTAACTTTTTAAGCATGAGCTTGTAAGCTAATGGGTCGAAGAATCCTGTTTTCGGTTGGAATGCGAAAACTACACTTCTCATCTGGGGTGGGAAAATAAGCTCCTAAATTGTTCTTGTTAACAACGTGTTCCTCGGTCGAAATGGGAAAATTACAGCCCTCACAATCTATAGATATTAATCGTTTTCCTTTTAGTGTTAAGCTGTACACAGAACTTTTTTGTACGTAGCAGGCTTCTCTATTGGCCGGCAAGGGCACAGTGGGCATTTTTCAATAGAGCAGGCCGATATATCGTTTGCCTGAGTTGAAAAATGTTTATTTTCGCATAATATGGTGTTGATATGCGTCAGATATTAATACAGACAAAAAAACTCGAATTCGGAAAAACTGTTTTTCGATAACAAACTCCTTCCCTTGAATTTTTGTCAAAAAATAATTTATTTGTAAAATGGACAGTATACACCATGTGATGCAATTTTTCATGCTGATTCTCAATATCACATTAATTTTCAATAAAAGTATTTTTTGGCTGTGAAAAATGAAAAATACCTCAAAACCGAGGTTTTTTTGAAACCTGTAACTCGGCTTTGATAAATATGTGCAGTTTTGTGCATTCATAATTGACAGAGGAAATAGCACCTAGTATTTTCATACAATTTAGAGTCGGATTGGACGCCGGATGGAGGGGTAAACTGATTCCAAGATGAGAAGCTCTTTCGAAATAGACCTAGTCTGGAAGTCGAATTATTTTCTACGATTTTACAGGTCTAAAACTGATAAATTTTTTCCAGTTTTACAGAGGACTCTGTGTAGATTGAGAATATGTAGAGTTTTTGAATCTGAGACTACTGAGTCTACTAAAATACCTATTTTTTAAAAAATAAAAGACACGGTCGAATTTAATAAAAGTCCGAGGTTTGTTTTCAGTCCAGAGGAAAAAGCGTATTTGATCTTCGTTGTTGTATGTGTCCTTCTATCCATGTGTCGTTTTCTTGCTTTTGGTCTGTGTGTAAAGAATTGTATTTAAAACCTTTTCTTTTTGTATAAAGACGTTCATATTTTTCACAGATGTAGTCTAACCTTTTAGAGATTGATGAGTTATTTGTTTTCTTTGTTACATGCTTGCCAAAATGACAAATACGCTTAGTCAACGAAAAGTCAATAGTTTGGTTGTTTCTGGTTAGCCGTGAAATTTTCTCGTCAAAAACGGCTGCCGTTACAAGTATAAAAAAGTGTTGTCACGTGCAGAAATGTGCGCCGCCGAGCCGGTTCGCCGATTCGCCGCCGCCGTTGAAGTCGGAAAAAAATTATTGCGACTTTCGCCGCCGCCGCTGACAGGGGAGAAAAACTATTCTGACTTCCGCCGCCATGCCGTTAAACTTTTGTCGCCACCGAAAGCGGAGAAAATTTTTTTCCGAAAATTTTGACTATTTTTGTTAGTACATTCTTATCTTAGGCATCTAGCATGCAGTGCATTTCTATCTTTTCGTATACGGCAATGTACAGTTACAGTCGGGGAGCGAAGAACGTGCCAGGAAAGAGAACGTTGTTTCACTTAAATTATAAGATTAGCCGGGGGTTTTTCTGCATGAGAAACAGAAAGAAATAAAATCACTCTGTATTTTATATCAGCTCACTCTCTAATTGAACGCTCAGTGAACAAGATAGCTTGTTTGCATCATGTTTCCGAAGAAAATGGGCGGTAAAACAACCCTGTTTTCTTAACTTTTGTGAGTGGCATTTTTTTATGATTGGTCGCCATAACGGCGTCCAAACAGGCTCCACGCGTCGTGTTTCAAGAAAACGTCTCAAATCGTTTTCTCAAAGATAATACAAAAAACACATTAAAGTCTCGTTGAAATATATAATTACTGAAAACCTCAGCTCGTCGCGCGATAGCTCAAATCTAGTAATCGCCTTCATCTGCTGGCTAAGAAAGTCATATGCTGTGTTAGTCAGTCCACTGACTAACAATCAGATAAGAATCTTATGCTACAGTCGATAGAAATGCATACTGTGCTTATAAGATTCTTACGAAAGAAATGTGTAAGATTTCTATAAAAATTTTTACGTTTCTTATAGTCAGAAACATAAAAGAAAAAAAAATGTTGTTTTTTGTTGCCAAAAGTGCTCGTTATACACGACACTTCTTATTTTCTTTACATCTAGTGCAAGGGATTTCTATACTTGAACTTTTTGCAGTTTATATCTGCATTTTTTGACTTTTTCAACGTACGAGTACATAAAAAAAAGTAATTAATTCACAGGAGAAGTGTACAGCAGTTTCAGTGAACGAGAGAGTAAAGAGACTTAAATCCTTGCCACGCTTATTAACACAAAGTTGAACAGTCTTCTTTTAGCTATCTTGGGTATAGAAAATGGGCCTTTCTGAAGAAGTGTGCATCAGATATGTGATCGTTGTAAGATCGCTTTGCTGTTAGTGACTCTCAGGATGTGGCAATTGGTTTGGTTCTGTCTGATGCACAGAGGAGCTCAGCCATTCCGCCTCATTCACAGAATATTAGACTGGCTCTAATAACGAACCGATCTAGCGATAGTATCTACGGATGTACATTCTCTGAAACTTCAAGCATGAATGTTTTCTTCACGTATGGCAAACGTTACCTTATTGGCAACATTCATACGCGAACCATAAAACATCAACTACTCTCACCTTTATTTTGAGATCAAATGCCAGTTATATGTCGAGTCATAATTGAGAAGCACATGGAGCGGAACAGAAAACGTCATCCAAGATAGAAAATTTCTTGACTAGAAGTCTCAGAGCTTATTAGTAACTTAAAATCGATCGAAAATAGTTCAACATTATGGCAAGAAAACGCAAGAACGATTTGAACGATAAGATTCATCTTCTCAAACTGTTTCTATCAAAACTTATTCCATTTTCATTTCTCCTCTGTGAAACTTTATTAAAAATTTACTCGAAGTGAATGTAACAGTAGTGCGCTAGAATGGTCAACGTATTTATATTTGTGTGTGCAGAAAATGGAACTACTTATCGCGCTGTCGTTTGTGGATAAGTAATACCATCTCTATTCGTGATTCTTAATGAAACAGGCACAACTGATCGAACGCGATAATTTGCCAATAAGCGTTGACAAATAAAAACATGTTTAATTGAAAATATTCGTAATTCTTTAAATGTAAATAAATATATTGTGGAACAAAATGTATAATTCAGATAGATAATAAATGTTGTTAATGCATCAATATAAATGCTATAAGTAAGATTCAGAATTATTTGAATAAAATCATACATAACCCACGGTGACCATGTAAACAAAAACCAAATGAGAAATAAATTTAATTGCCATAACAAGCGACGTGATCGAGTTGAGTGTTGTCTTTTCAAAACAAACAAAAGAATAACGCAAACGTAACTGAATAAAACAATAAAATATGGAACAAATCTAATTAGTAAATCTATTATATTTAATGGATTGAATGTGTAATATAAGTCGCAGATAGGTGTTTCTGGATTATTGCTGGTGCCTGTTGTTGCACCGCCAAAACGCATAAGAAATGGATAATAGAGAATAGGAAATAGAATACAAAACACGGTGCCAATATAATGGAGATAAACAGCACGTGAACGAGTTCGACGAAACAGAAATGGTTTTACTACTAGCAGAACTCGTTCAGCTGATAATTGTGCTGTTAAGAAATCACTGATCTGTGTTGGAATAGAATCCCAGCAAACTGCCAGCTCACATAAAAAGGTTGACTGAATAGGTTTACATCCATTATTAAAATAAAAGTATAAATGAATTGGTCCTTGAACAAATGTAATTAGAGTATCGACACAACAACATAATAGTACACAGTGATTACGAATTGAAAATATTTGCTTATTGAATCCAAAAGCGATAAGAAACAGAACATTGAGTAGTATGCCTGGTGGTACAATATAGCATCCAACAATGAATAAGCCATTATACATGGGTATTAAGTGATATCCTAAATCATCAATAACGTAACATGTTTCATTGTTCATCGTTCAAACACGTTCACAATAATATTGGAAAAGATGTTGAATCAAGTATATTCATGAGAATGACATTATTTTCTTTATTGGAGCCGAATATCATCTTCAAATGTGAAATTATGGTGGGAAAACTGCGTGGAGTATCTCTTTTAACTAGAGAAGAAGAAAATAAAATAATGGTTATAAAATAGTTTTAAATATACATAATTAGACATTGCAGAAAGTTCTCCTTGTGTGCATCACATGTATTCCTCCTTTCATTTGAAATAAAAGAACTACAATGAGTCAAATAATTATCGATACGATGGGAGGAACATTGATAATAGCAGGTATCCAGTAACGAAGCCATAGTACTAAAGAAACATCCATAGTGATCGCATAATTTAAGCTGAAACGTTTTGTTCCGCATACGCTGAAGATTGAACGAAATCGGAATGAGGTAGTTCAATAATCGGATTAAAATTGAGACATATTTATAAACCTCCGTATATAGTTCAGCAGTTTTCTTCACTCTAAAATAAATGTGACTTCAGCGATGTACGATTTCTTCTAAGATCAGACGGGTGATTTAAACGCGCACTGTCATAAATGGTGCCCTACTAAGCCTAGTACACGTGAAGGGGAAGACATTTTGGATCTGTTTACTAGCCTAGGTATTACATAAATGATTAATGATGTAACAAGGCCTGCTTCAGATACATGCTTAGATTTTGTTTGCTGCTAATAATGTCTCATTAATAAAAGCGTTTTCTGTTCTACCTCCGGTAATTCTTTCCTGTGATCATTCAGTTTTAAGCATTGTTCTTCAGATAACCTCTGTTAAACAAACTTCGTACAAAAGGAAAATCTTTAATTACAAATGCACTGATTGGAATTATTACAGATACTCAGCTTTTCAAAATCTTAATTCTTATTCATTTAAGTCTTCAATCTCTATAAATGAAAAACTTGAGTTACTTTTCACTGCTATGATTAAAGCGGCGAATGTAGCTATTCCAAATAAATATATTCGTGTGTGACAAACCTTGGTTCACAGATGAATTACGTAATATGCGCAGAAAGTGGAATAGATATTTTGCTCAATATAAAAAGAAACAGACCACCACCAAAAAAATTAAATACGAGACATCTGCACGTCTTTTTGAAGAAAGTTGTGATATTGCTATGAAAAAATTTCATAATCGTATTAATCAACAACAAGCAAATTCTTCTTCTTCCTGGTATAAACTACTTAATCACGCGCTCTGTAGAACCAAACAAAGTGAAATACCTGTGATGAAAAATACTGCGGGAGCATGAATTTACGATGACTTTGCTAAAGCTGAAATCCTGAATGAACACTTTGCATCTATCTGTACTATGAGTGATAAAGACGCGTGCAGATTTATTCCTTCTGATACCATTCCTCTTTCTTCTACTAAATTTGATATTACAGAAAAAAATTGTCCAGACGAAGTAGAAAGAACATTACGAAAATTAAATGCAAACAAGGCTTGTAGCTCAGAAGTTACTGGTAGAATGGTTAAACAATCTAGTGACGTGATAAATGAGGCGTTAGCAGATATTTGTAATCAATCAATTAGTCAAGGAGAGTTTCCGTCTTCATTTAAAATAGGATGTATTACTCCGCTTTTCAAAGATGGTGAACGTTGGCAGCCGAATAATTATAGACCTGTTACTTTGCTGCATATATTTTCAAAACCCTTGGAAAGAGTAGTATATTCTCGTCTTTACAATTACTCGGCTAAAAATAATCTGTTAATTTTCCAGAAACCTTCTGAAAAACCTCAGAGCATCAGTGTTCTGCTGGATCACTTTTTCGGCGTGGTCAACAACATATGGCACCTTTTAAGCCTTTCCTGAAAATTTCCTTGAGTCAGCATGAGATT